GCATCCTGCAGCCATTTCCAGATAAGGACTCAAGCTCAGCTTTTCTTTTCCGGTACCAATTTTTTTAAAAAGCAGAGTGGTTTCCAAACCCTTTGGAAATGGAACTTTGAGCTTGCCTGCTGCAGTGTGTGTGACCACAGGGACCAGGCTGTGGCTCCACAGGCATGGAGGCATGGAAAGCAGTCCTGTTCTTGCCTGTGTTCCCCATGTGCACAGACCCCATATCTGCCCCTGCTTCACCCTGCACACCCATCCTTGTAGGCGCTGCAATAAAGGTGACACAAACCCAGCTGGGACATTTTGCCAACGTGTGTGGAGGTGGGGCTGTAGCAGGGCAGGGAGGGCAGGAAGCCCCAAGACTGGTGTCACCATGGTGGTAACTGTTAAAAGGACCCACCTCACCACTTGTACCCAGAATTTCTTCCCACTTAACCTGAAGTGAGGTTTGCATGAGTGTGGGAATAAATCCTGTGGAATGTCTCTGAGCCCCTGCTAAAATACAGTAATTTGAATAACTATAGGGGACTAAAGACAAAGACAATGGAATTTATGGATTTCTGTCTTACGTCCTAAAATAAATACTACATTTTCCATTCCCAGTGAAGGTAGCAAATACCTCCCTGCTCAAAGTCTTTCTCCTGAGAATGGTCTGGCCACATGTGATGGTGATGCTCAGATACTCTGGCCCCTTTTTTCCTGGCCTCCCCATGTTCAGCCACATCAGTCCTGGGCCTCACTGCCTCAGGCTTGGGTGGTGAGGGTTCATCAGCTGAGCGCAGTGCCCAAAAAATCCCCAAAAGCAGTGAGTGGGGACCTGCTGACTTCAGGCTACCAACAATGCAGCCCAATGAAATGCATCTAATTTCCCAGTCGCCGCTTCTTGTACACATGACCTGTTAAAAGGATTATATTAAAAGAATTCCCAGAGCTAATCTAGTGATGATATGATGAGAGACAGGAGCTCAAGCATATCCCAGAGGTGAGTGATCAGGTTTCCTAGGATGTATTATTTATGGGGCCATCTGCTTTAGACAAGCATTGAAGTCTGAAGGGGAGGAGGATTTTGATGGCATTCAATCATTTAACTGGGACAGGGTGACGGTGGAAGAGATACTGTGGTTTCTTGCCACTCTTGCACTTATTAATGTGCATCCAAAAACTGACACCGTAGTTATTTATGGAATAAAGCTGGAAGCAGGGTGCCTCTGTGTCAATGCCTTCAACAAAATGCTGCTGAGCTCTGAGATCTCACGTGCGTCCTCACAGAAAGGGCCATTCATAGCAAGGTCCATCAGCACAAGGGAGAGAGGTGTAAATATGTTCCAGTATGAGCTACTGGTAGAGTGAAAAACCCAGGAGTATAAACAGAGCCATGACTGGAATGTGAGGAGGTAGGGGGGCAGCCAAGATGAGGCAGAGTGGGCAGGAGAACAGGAAGAATTTCCCCAAGATAGATGACTTAGTTACTATATAGCTCAGTAACTGCAGGATCTGTTTACAGCAATTACAGACAACACAAAGCAAAATCACTAATGTATAAAAGGAAACTGTCATTCTTTCTGATTCAGCCTGATGTACTATTTAAATAATATGGGTCAAGCAATCTGAAATAAAATATCTTCATGAACAGAATTCCCTTCTGCCCATCTCCCACTGTGCTAAAAGCAGCCACCTTCTGCTGACATTCCCACATCACATGTGCATTATCAGATTTCTAAATACTGAAGCTTCCTTGGAGTAGTGTCTAAGCTTTTCATCAGGAGTGAAAGTCCTGAAAGTCTCAAAGCTTTGGTTGGGAAAGTTCTACTAAACCTTTACACAGAAATTTGCTGGAAGCTACCTGTCAGTTTGCTGCCCACTTTCCAGTAATTCAGACTAATGATTCGTCAACACCCCTTTTTTTTTTTTGCTTTTTGCATCTGTCTAGAAGGAGCTTTCTGCTCCAGTTACTGGTTTAATAACACAAGGCTATGTACTGAGGCAAAATTCTCATCCAGTCTTTCTTGATTTGTCTCATGACTGTTTCCCTAATCCTTACTTTTAACATTGTTCAAGAAAATAGTTCTAGCTTATAAAGATTGGTCCTTCTGAATTGGGGTATTGCTTCAGAGCTGTTCTTCTGGACACTGGGTTTATGCAGGAAAGTTTTGATTACAAAAAATGCAGACTTAGAGTCACAAGCTATAAGGAAGGTGGCTGTGAACAACATCAGAAATCCTTTTTTGCTTCGCTGTTTCTGTATGGTTTGTCCCAGAGTTGTTACCTACCAGTGTTTTACCAGACAGGGAATTAAACCTCTGTCTGGTGATTTGTTGTATCATTTATGTGCTGAATGTTCAGGCTGGGAAGATCAGCCTGCAGAAGGAGCCTGGATTAGGCCATTTGGCAGGATTTTTCTTGTTCATGAGCTTCACTGAGGTGCCTTTCTGGTGTAGCTGCCACCTCACTTCACCCTTGGCGGTGGCACACTCAGGCATCATCGGGCTCTTCTGGAAGGAGGACAGTAATGGATTGTGGCAGCTGGGAAGAGGGAGCAGCAAAGCTCCCCCATGAGTGGCCTTCAGCCACAAGTGTAGCATCAGCTAAACCTCTGTAAGGGCCTGTGGCAAAGGGCTGGGTGGCCTCAGCATCCCCTGCTCTGTGGCACCGGGACAGTGAGGGTCAGGGGGCTACAAGCTGCGTGTGTGCAGTAGAGGGAGGCACATGAAACCCCCTCCATGGGGCAGTGCAAGCATCTGTCCCTTGCACACTGCCAAGCATCTATGAAGGCAATTCCTTGGCACATGTTTCAGTCTCTCAATAGCCAGCAAGATGTGTGCTGACAGAAACCTGCATGAAAATGAGTGCCTGGGGACAAGCAAGGACATACGTTCTCTTCTTGCTGCAGAAGTTGAAGTCAGCAAGGTGGTAAAAAACAATCAGGCCATTTACTGTAAAAATAGTACTAGTGGCAGATTTGTCTCTCCACCTCCCAGCCCAAAATTGTCCCAAGGACTGGATTTTTCTGCCAGATTACTCTGATTGGCACCTTCACCAACTTCAGGGAAATGACTCACAAAAGACAAGACATTTGGGCTGGATGGTGGGACAGGGATTTTTAAAGCCCTTGCAGGACAAAATACTGGAGAGGCTTGTCCTTTGTGTGGCTTTTGAGCAGAGACTCCTTCATCTCTGCAGAGACTTCTTCATTTTCCAGGAAAACAGGCTGAAATGTTATGAGAGCTTCTTAAGGAATGCTTACAGCAAGCAAGCCTCCCTACGTGTTGGTACAGCCCTTATCCCAAAGCATCTTGCTGCTGCCACTGTACAGGAGTGAATCCTCCATTACTGCTGGGTTAGTTTTTGCTGGATTACTCTTCTGCCAGATTATTCTGCTGAGTTAGTGAGTTAAACTGTGTGGGCAAAGACATGATGTTGGAGTCAAGATGGCATCGGTGGTGAGAGTAACTCCTGGAAGGGCTGAAGAGACAAGAGAGGCTCTTGTTGATGGTGAGATGTCACAGTGTGTCTCAGTCTCATCTGACTTGGCTCTCAACATTGCGTGGTGTTTTCCTGTCCCCTGTGCTGTGTCTCATTGAATCAGTGAGAAGGTGAATGAGAAGATCAAACAAAATGATTGGCAGGTTGTTTCTTTTCCCTTGGGGTATTTGCAGCCAGTGCTGCTGCCCTGATCTGGACCACTGCATGACCTCCATGTGAGCAGACACAGCAATGTGGGGAAAAGCAGGACAGAGTTTGCTTAACCCACCTTTGCTGTTAAAACAGTATTCACCACACTGGAGCTTCACAGATCAGACCTGAAGCTAAATTTTTTTTCCTAAGAAGACATCTTCTCAAGTAAGCACTGATGTTTTCAGTGGAGCCAGCAAAGAAAAGAAAAGGCTTTTTCTGGCTTCCAGATGCTGTTTTTTTAGGTTTAAAAATCTGTGTCAGGTGGACTGGGTTTTGCTGAGTAAACAGCAAGCCACAGAGGTGGAACTTTTGAGGTCTGCATGATCATGTTATTTCCAAGTGGTGGCAGTAAGTAAAGCCTCTCTTCCCAGTACTCCTACATAAGCTGGACATGTGGCTGGCTGCCTGGAGGTGAGCCCCATGTGCAGTGTCTGGGCCCTTACACACTGCTTACAGCTGCTTTGCCACTGCATGTCCAGGTATGTCCCATGAGCAGGAATATTCACCCTGACGTGGCCAGACATCCTGAAGTATGATCAAAAGGGTACATCCATTTCCACTGAATGTCTGGATATGTATCTTAGCCATTCTGGCACTAAAAATATATAATGTTTTATATAAAACTCCAAAATACAGCTGTAACTGCATCAAGTGTTTCTTTAAGTTGATTGCAATTTCCTTATGCCATTTGCAACATTACTGGGATATCCCACTGAATAAGAAGAACTTTCTAATATACAGATGCCACACTCATTGTCTGTTCCTCATTAGCTACATATTCAGATAAATTAATTTGATATTATTGATGTCCATCTTGTTTATTCCTCCTGGATCATCCGTAACAGGAGGTTGAAACCACTACACTTGTGGTAAAACACAGTTTTGCTGCCACAGCCTCGTGAATTTTCGTGCATAATGGGTGTTCAGCAGGAAAATGAGTTTTTATGAACCCCAGCCTTGTTCCCTGCAGTAAGGGGAGCCTGCTGGTCATGCCTCTGGCTTCTGGCTCTCCTGCTGACCCCAGGTGTGCTGTCCCTCCTGTGCCTCAGCTCTGCTGTACCAACACATACTGGTTCCCAGCACCTGCAAGGAATTACAGAGCACTAAAATGCTCCCTGGAGCTGGGCGCTCATCGTACAGTACAGCTGACACAAAAGCTGAAATTCCTTTCACATGAGAACATGGGTACATCTGCTTGCAATCATCTTCCTCCAGGCAGCCGGCCTGATCAAGGAGAAATGTGATTCTCCACTCTTGATCCAAGGAGTGCTGGGTAGACGCCTACAGCCAAGGGGCTGGGACTGGGGAGAGACAGAATAAACGCGCCTTTCACACCCGGCATCCCCACCAGTCCCGTGGCTCCCGTGCTCTTCTTGCCCTGCTTGCAGGAGGCAGGGCATGCTGAAATAAAGAGAAACTTGTTCTGTGGCAGGAAAAGTCATTTCTTCTGGCCAGGCATTCCCATCCTGGGAAGGAGACAGGAAGCATATTACATTAAAGGTAAACTGATAAAATATTTGTCTGCTGGAGGAAGGGGAGGAATGTCAGAAACATGTCAGTGTTGTTTAGAAAAAAGTATTGTGGCATCTCACTCCTTCCCTGACAACAACTGTGGGGTGTCATAAAGAAATGTTTTGGGCTTCAGTGATCTGTAGCCTCATGCAGGGCATTTTGCTGGGAGGATGCTCTTTGTTGGTCTGTGCACGCCTGTGTGTGTACACACTGGGGTGTGAGTGTGCGCTGTGCAGCAGAGGAAATGTCTGAAAGTATTAGAAGTGAGTGGACATAGAGGGGATATTGGCAGAGCTCTGGGAAATCTATTGTTTGTTTGCTATTACTTTCTTTGTTGCAGCTGACCAATGAGAAAACAACCAAAAAAGCTACTTCTTTGATAAAATGTACAATTTGTAACACAGATGTCTTATGGTTCGTGTACTTCTGTAGATTTGTCACATTCCGTGTTAAAACTTGCTTTTCATGCTGCTACACAAGGGGACTGAAGAAGTAATTTATAGGTACAATTAAGAATGCCATGCTTGGGAAATAAAGGGAGAGTGTTTGTAACAAAAGGAAGCTTGACAATTGAGTGGCTTAACTTCACTGTGATTCCTGAAAGCAAGCTGAAGGTAGGAGCCACAGTGTACTTTTAATCTTCAAATCTGATCATCAGTTAATATGTTTGTAAAGGCAAGGTGGCCCCACCTCCTCAGGCTGGATTTTACCAGCACATAGTCCAGATAGCCTGAAGACTTGAGCCAGCCTTGCAGAAGACATTAACAACTCAGTGATGCAGTTGTAGCTACAATGCTCCAAGGGCACATGCGACCCAGACAGCCACAGCATCCCTACAGCTGGACTGATTAAAATGGTCAGAAGTGACAGTTCACCACAGTCTTGCAAGAAAATGCTGTGCTGCAGGCTGGGCAAGAGGACCTAGGGCAAGGCAGCCTGCTCTGTGCATGCTCTTTGGAGGCATGTGGTTAAATCAGGCATGGACTGCTCCTAAACTCTTTGAACTTAACTCCTGCTAAGACCTCCTTGGTTTCAGCCAAGCTATATTCTTGGCCACAAATAAGTGCCTAATAAAGACAGTTCTCATGAATAAGTCTTACTTTGGAGTTTTTTTAAGAATCTGTCTTAGGGAAGACATTTAAGAATCTGTTTAGGGAAGTTTTGGTAGGGTGGAAGAACATCCCTTAACAAGTGCAGAGAACAGTGATGGACAGATAATGTTTAAAAAAAATTGGCATGCAGAGGTTCTGCATATTTTACCATTGCAGTTTATTCACATACATTCATGTACGTATGTAGAGTTTTAAGGTGACTATAGAATGATCTGTGCTAGAGCATGAAAATTCGAAGAGAAACATCTGTCATTAAAAAACAATAGGAAAAAAACATTTATTTAGCACAGGCTGAAATACAGAAATGTTTGCATGCTGTGTTTGGCTTGATTTACTATAGGGAAGACAATGATGTACAGAAGAGTTGTCTGTAAGAAATCCTGTGGGGTCTGCTCTTTTCTGGGCCTTCTCACATGAATGTTCATTTGGGTGTTGCAACACACTCACACTCTGTAGTAAATCCACCACAGCATTTTGTAAAGGCCTCATACTCAATGTATTTTTTTAATATGCTTCATTCCCAGAGAATACTAATGCAGATTTATAAAGATGAGAAGCTTTCCTATGACAGACAGATGGGATGCCTTTAAGGCTGTGTCAGTGGCCTCTGAAAATATTGATTGCCATGTGTGGTTACTGAGAAAAGATGCTGAAACCTTCAGAATTGAACAGTTAACAGAGCATGCATCAAACCTGGATTTTCATTTATAGAAAGGAGAAGCCCTTATGTCAGTCCTTCCCTGTGGCAGCCATTAACTCCTATGACTGGGTCTCAGTGTAGCTGTGGGAAAATCACATCTGTGTTCCTTTGTTTTGTGAAGGCTGTGCTTACAGAGAATGTTCTTACCTCTCACCACACAGATTTCATCCTCAGCAGGAGGATGAGTTATTATTCTAGGCAGAAGGCACAAGCACAAGTCTTTAACTTTGGGGAGTAAATGGAATTTGTCAAGGCCTTGTAAAATCACTCTTGCCCGTTGGTCTTTCTAATGTTACACCACTGCCCTTTGCCTCCTCTGACTCTTACTTGCAGCCTCTCTGTTCCTTGTAGTGCTGTCATCAGCCACCAACCTTTTTCAGGTATTGCCTGAAGCCACTACTGAGAAATTGATGGGAAAACAATACTGGTTAGGTTGGAGGAAAGTTGGCTTTTGGTGACATTTTTGTATATATTTGGAGAAATACATTTTGTAGGTGACTTGTAAATGCACAAATTCTACACTACCACCTGTCGTCTCCTTCCTTTCACATCCAAGAGAGCTGCATTGGTTTTAAGGCTAGATGGCTTCACTCTGGGCTGACCACATGCATAATTCAGATCCTCTGACATCCCTGTATAAAGTCATGTTTCAGGATCAAGAAGAGTACCTGTGACAGAGACTGTCTTTTGACAAGCAGGAAAAAAACCTCTCCTTGATTAAGAAAGATCCACATAGTCCAAGAAAGTTCTTTAGAAGTTGTTCTGTTATTGTTAACATCCATCTGATGATTCCCCTTGGAATTTATACTCAGAGCCCATTACACATCCAATTAGGTTAAAAGAACTTCAGAAGGGAGGCTGCTCCACTCCTCACACATGCATTCTTCCTGCACAGAATTCAAATATCAGTAAGCAAAATACATATGTTTCATAAGTGTAGGTGCTCTTGTCATAAACTCCAGATCATTTGGGATCATTTGTTCCTGAAGCTGCCTATATAGTTGGGGAAGGGAATGGGAAAATACATTTTCCAACATATTATCTATGCAGAAAACATGCTTAGATCTTTGATTAATATTCCTAGTTTGTATTGTGTATATACATATAAGAGATCAGTCCTTTGTAATGAGAGCTTATTTCTGAATGAAAATATATGATGTTTAAATGGAGAATGGAGATGAATAGGAGAGAGACAGCTCAGAAGAAATAATAAAGAGTTGGACTTAGTTCCTAATGAAACCAAAATGAAGGTATTCTGACAGCCTTTGTTTTAATCTGTTTCTTTTTTTAGCCTTGCCTGAATTTTCCTCTGTGCTCGCAGTGAAATCAATCTATGCCTTGGGCAGTGGGATCTCTCCATGCCTAGGGAGACTGATTGATTGTTTCGTATATTGAGACTGTAGGTTTGATGGGAATTCTATAGGAATGGTGACAGCAGTGGAGATTTGAGGGTTTTGGCTTCTTTACTAAAATACATACCTTACAGCATATGTTCCTTCTTATCAGATAAAATGTCTTCTCTCCACTGTGTATTTCTCTCTTCTTTCTGCTATTTCTCGTCTCTTTTGTGCATTTCTCACTTTTCTCTTCAAACATCTCAGTATGGATCATTTTGTGTACAAAATTTAATTAGTAAGTCATGTAAGATTAGTACTATGGAAAAGCTTTTCCATGGACATATTTAGTGGCTTTGTAATGATTCAGTGATTTGGTTGTATTTGGTACTTTTTTTTTTTTTTAAGTGTAAAATAATTTGCCATGACATGGCCAACTCAAACCCCATGACAAAAATTTCATATGAAATTATCAAGGGTAAAGGGTTGGCTTTACTAAACCCAAGGACAATTATTGTATTTATACTAGCAGAAACAAGACTTTTCTTATCCAGGTGCCTGAACTTTGCTAGCAGCCAGCCAGGCTCAGTCTGTGAAAAATGTGCTCGCATGTTCTTCAAAGTATGACTGGTGTTCTTCAAAGTACGACTGATCTGTCATTTTCTCTTAATTGAAAAAGACTAAACAGCAGAAAGCTTCCTATCTGCTCCAATCTCCTCCCTGCTGTCCTGGGAAGCACTGGAGTCACCATCCCTGGAGGTGATTTTAAAAGATTTTTAAAAGATGCATGGATTTGGCACTTAGAGACATGGTTTAGTGGTGGACTTGACAGTGGAAGGTTTTTTGTTGGACTTTCCCTACTAAGTGTTTCTGTGATATGGTGATCTTGCCATCTCTGGTTAATAAGTGATTATCAACAACTGAAATTCATGAAGAACTTCACAGAAAAGGTAATAACTTTGGAATGGACTCCCTGTGGAGATGGCGGAGTCATCATCCCTGGAAGTGTTCAAGAAACAACTGGACGTGGCACTGCATGCCGTGGTTTAGTTGAGCTGGTGGTGATTGGTCTTGGTTGGAGTGGTTGGACTTGCTGATCTTGGGTGTCTTTTCCAACCTAAATGATTCTGTGTGATTACCAATATCAAAGTTATATTGCTGTCCCTGTGTCTGCATTAATCAACATAAAAATTACAAGTTTAAGTGACCACCTTTATGAAGATGTTTCTATTCCAGTTATAACTTGGGTAAAAATAAACAGTCTAATACCACTGTGTGGCCTCTCCCAATCTATCATAGAGTCATCCCTATGCTTGCACCAATTCTGTCAGGTACAAGCAATCCTCAAAGGTTTGTCTGTGTGTATGTATGTATGTATGTATGTCTGTGTGTATGTATGTTTGTACATACTCACTGCTGTATGGCTAAGCCCCAACCTGGACTCACTCTCTTTGGAGAGAAAGAGATTGGTGTCATCAGGACACCACGGCATTACCCAGATCAGGTCCTCCCCATTCCAAATACCATTCAGCTCATTCCAAATACTTGCAGCCTATTTTAACAATTATTTTTTATTTTAACAAATATTTTAACAATAATTACCAGGTGAAAGCATCTTTTCATTGTAGCCATTAGGCAGTAATATTATCTAATAAAAAGGCAGTCACTGTCCTTTGGTCAGGAACAGTACTTCAGATCTGCCATGCAGCATGTGAAAACATGTTAAATAAGGACAACATACTTTAAAGCAAAAATCACTATGGTCCTCTTTAAAATAAAAAAAGGAGTCAGACACAAAGACTTATAATGGCAGATCTTGAGAGAGGAGGAGGTGAAAGAATT